TATATATATATATATATATATATAGATATAGATATATATATAGATAGATATATATATATGAATTTATTATGTATGTACAAGATTTTTGTACAATAATTTAATGTTTTTTTATAAAGCTTAATTTTGTTATTAGCTTTATAAAATCCAATAAAATCTGCATTCTAAAAGTATCTGAAGTTTTTTATTTAAAATCGAATATCGTCAATATTAAAGTGAGTTTTAAAAACTATTGTTGTTATAAAATTTTATAACAACAAAAAAAGATAACCGAAGTATTTTATGGAAATGGCAATTTAAATAGAAAAAAACAGCATTTGTGAAGTCTTTTCTTAGCTTATCAAGCCCAAGTTATTCTGATGCATGGTATCTTCTGTAAATAAAAAGTAATTTGACCCTTGGTATTTCTCAGTTTTTGACTATGGTATGTAATAGTATTTTATCTAAGAGTATGTTTTGTTCAAAGAAATTTTGATATTTCAACTGCTTAAATGAGCAAAACTTTACAATCAAAACTATAAACAGCTGCATGATAAAATGTTTACCAATATCTTTAATCTATTTGATTTCATAACCACATTTAGATATTAGATATAAAAAGATTAGATAGTGACAATAGATATGATAATCACATATGAAGCTCAAAATTGTTGTGATAAATGTTGGAATCAATAACATTTTCAGTCTTTGTTTCAAAAGTAAAAGAAGTTATAACCTCAACAGTGTAAAACATTTATTTGTAAGCAACAAAGTGACCCGAAAAATGACGTCAAGCAAAAAAGAACGAATTGTTAATCAATGGTTTTTAGAAAGAGAGCTGAACTTTTTTATTTCACTCAATTTATGCAAAATTATAAATTTAAATATTTTTGCACTTAATTAGATAGTAGTAGGTACAGATTATTAAACGACTGGAAAAGGAATTTTAGCTATAATTTAATTTCAATTTTAACTTTTTTGTTTATTGTCTGTATATCATGTAAAGTATTATTCTTAAATCATTAGGTTAATACCTATTTAGTAAAATAAAGAAAATTTTGTTGATTTGCTACTAAATACTGTCTTGCCCTAGGTTAGGTTCTCATTAATTTAAAAATAATTTTAACTTGTAAAGGCCTCTAATAGTGAGTTATATATAGCCTATGATCCGTTCGCTATCACAGTGACTAATAAAATTAGAAAGTAATAAATAAGAATTTGAGAGATTACAACATATGCAGCATATTAAAAAAAAAATTTTTTATCCTAGAATAATATGTACAAGATAAAAATACATTGAATATATTACTGGTAGGACTTCCAGAAAATTACACGATCTTATCATGAAGCCCTTTAGAATCTATATCACGAGTTAAAATAAATAAATAAATTTACAAATATTTAAAACAATTTTTAAATGCGTTTATATATTATAATACTCTTTAGATGTTAAGCAAGTTTTAATAATATTTTATAATATATGTGAATATATATATATATATATATAATATATATATATATATATATATATATATATATATATATATATATATATATATATATATATATATATATATATATATATCTCAATATTTAAAATTATTCAAAAACAAACAAACAAACCGAAAAAAAACCAAGCAAAAGCTTGAAAAATTACAAATTTTATCAGTATATATGTAATGGTAATATATAATATGTAATCTAAAGACATTGTTGTTAAGATTACAGTTCCTTAATTATTTTGTGGAAAAGGTATTAATTAAAAAATATAAAAATATGTTACCAATCAAAAAAATTACTTCTTTAAGTTTTCTTTTAAAAAAAAATAATTTCAATTATAAAAAATTAAAATGTTTTTTGAAACTATTTTGTTCCATAAAAAGGCTTCACGGTATTGAATGAAAGATTTGCCTATATTTGATTGAAAAATCAGTTGTTGGATATGTTTATTATTTCTTAATATATATTTATTTTTTTCTTTTATTGAATTTAAATTATGAAAAGAAACAGGACATGCATTAATTTTACTTTTAAACATAAAACAAAGAACGTTAAATATATTTGCTTTGTAAATATTAAGAATATTCATATTAAATAATAAAGGCCTGGCATAAGTAAAACGATCTTTAAAATTAATAAGACGTGCTACATGCTTCTGTTTACAAAGCAAAGGCTTTAACCTTATTTTATTGGTACTACCCCAGGCAATGTTAGCATAGTTAATATGACATTAAATTAATGAGTAATATAGCTGAATTAAAGTATGTTTATTTAAAATGCTTTTTGTTTTATATAGAATCCCAATATTTTTGTAATTTTATTATTTAGGTTTCCAATGTGGTTTTTCCATGAAAGATTTTTATCCACAATAATACCTAAAAATTGAGTGTAAGTTACTCTTTTTATATTAATTTTATCAATGAAAAGCGGCGACATTTCACTTGGTAGTATATGCTTTTTATAAGCTGAATGAAAAAGAATCCACTTAGTTTTTTCAATATTAAGTAAAAGCTCATTTGATTTAAACCAGTCAGATATTTTCTTTAGTTCTACAAAATGAAAGATACACCGAAGATGAAAATCCCCTCGCATTTATAAAAATATATGAAAAATTTAAATAATTTAGTTTTTTTTAAGCAAAGTTTATCATTGATTTATAATTTTAAAACTGAATTTTAAAATTTACCATAGATCTTTTAGAAATATACTTTATTGAAACATAAACACTTTGATTTTTATTGAGAAAATAATTTCTGGGACATAGCAAAACTTTATTTAAAGCAAATTGAAGTTATTCTTATAATAAAGTTTACAAAAACAATAGAATTATCTGGTAAAGCAGCTAAGGTCAGCTCAAACAGTTAAGAAAAAGACTCCTAAAACTACTAACAAATTATATTAAAGTATGTTTTATTGTAATTATATAACTTTTGTATTGAGACTCTTTTTCTCCTTGCAACAACAGGTTACATAAAATGATTTACCTATATACAGATTTCAGTATTAAAAAACCATCTTGGAAAGTAGACTATGTTTAAAAAATAAATAAATAAGTAGTTGCTAGTGTAAGTTTATTTATTTATTCAATTATAAAATCATTAGGTTTTATAAAACTATTGCAATATTAGTGTTTTCAAATCAAGTAAAGATTTTTAATTTATTAAAAATTTAGCTCAAATTTTTTTTTCTTTTTATGTAGAATAAAAGATTAAAATTTTAATTAATTGAAACAAAAAATTTTTTTTAATTTTAACGCTCAAATAATGAGGAAAAGAATTATAAAAATTGTAAACAAATCCTAAAAAAAGTAACTTTTTTGTGTTTATATTTTTTTCATTATGAAAGATTTCTTAAGTTTCAAATAATAATTTACATAATTAATCTATGTATAAACTTACTTAACTCAATAAATAATTAGAAACATACATTATGACCTAGAATATACAAATAACTGGTTTTTTAATTATATTTTTTCTGATGCTGAAAGTCCGTAACCATTTTTTGATTTTTCAAGTTTATAAAATCATACTGCGCTTGCATATAATAACTTTCCCCTTTTTTTCAAATATCTAAACTTCCGTGAAGTAATAACGCGATTTAAAATAAAATAGCCTCCGCTTGGTAAGTCAGCGTTACACTCTCACGGAATCAGAAAATCAGTGACCTGGGTGAATATATATTATATGTTTATAAATTTACTTTTATTTAGCAAAATAAAATATTTAAAGTGTGATGCCAAATATCTTTTTACATAAAACAATATTATAACATAAATATTTTTTATAATTTATATTGTTATATAATATGCAACGATACATTATAAATATATCTTATAATTATTGCAATAAAATTACTTAGTTTTATAATGTGCAAGTATAAAAATTTATAATTTTAATAATGTACAAATATAATTCGTAAGTAATTTTGCAAATATAAAAAATAATGAGCAAATATATAACTTTATAATGGAAAGGTACCTCAGCAATAAACTCACGTACTTCTGAGCGTAGATAGACTCTAACTAAATTCTGCAATGTACATTTTATTAGCAATTATAACAAAATCTCTGTTCTTTTTAGTAATATTGTCTCGCTTTTTGCGTTTGTTTTTAATGCTCTGCGTCAAAAATACTGAGCATTCAAAACAAGGAGCACTATTTTTTGTTTGTTTGATTATTTTGCCTTTAAGTAATATTTACTATGTAAGCGTATATAAATTGAAACATTAAAAAAAGCAAGAAAAAGATATTGTAATACGGTGCCTTCTTACCGGACCCCATTCGCACGTATTAACAAAATTGTTGCGTACTAGTACTTTTAAATTAATGCAAAATTATTTTTTGTGTACACGTAATTTTAGATTGCATGTATGCCAATTTATAACAGTTATGAAATTCAAAAACTACTTAAAATTCTATAATCTAAATCGGAAAAATAACTAATAATGCTTTTAACCTCTCTTTCTCTCTCTCTCTCTCTCTCTCTCTCTCTCTCTCCTCTCTCTCTCTCTCTCTTTCTCTTTCTCTATTTATACCAGTGGCGTACCTACGGGGGGCGGGGCTCACCGCCCCGGGTGTCATCCACTTTGGGGTGACATCCAATTTATTAATATCTTATATTTTATTTTAATTATTTATAGAGAGTTATAGACACTAAATTATTATTGTCGAAAACAAGGTTTAAAATTACATGTGTCAACGTTACTAAATACTGCTTTAATAATTTCGTATATAAAAATAATTACATATAATATATGGGTGACAGCCTATTTGCCGCCTTGGGTGACACCATAACTAGGAACGCCACTGATTTATACATATATATATATATATATATATATATATATATATATATATATATATATATATATATATATATATATATATATATATATATATATATATATATATATATATGAAATATTAAAATTTTGGGCCTTGTATATACATAATAGACCTTTTCATAAATAAACGTCCGCATAATTCCAAAACGAGGCTTAAGTTGTACCGTTTGTAAACAAACCAAATGGCTTCTAATAAAAAACCTATAAGAAAATCATCTGGCAAACAATGTGCTGCCTATAATTGCTTCAATCGAAGCTATATTATCGAATTTGGAGAGCGAAAGGCTTCTGGCATTAAATTCTTTCATTTTCCAAAAGATAAAAATGAAATTTCTATTTGGTGCAACTTGATAAAACGTA